CTTAGGAGGCTGAGACAGGAGGATTGTTGTGAGTTCAAGGCCAGCCTGGGCTACACAAGGCCAGCCTGAACTGCATAGCAAGACCCTGTCTCAAAAAAGAAAAAAAAAGAAAAGAAAAAAAAAGAGGAAAAGGAGCAGGAGAAATATTTGAAGTAATAATGGCCAAGAATTTTCCCAAACTAATGAGAGACACAAAACTATAGAGCTAGGAGTCTCAGAGGAGGACTCCAAGCCGGAGAAACAGCAAAATACATCCAGCTGTGGGCTGAGCAAACAGCTCAGTGGTAGAGCTCTTGGTTAGCATGCACAAGACCCCAGTTCAATCCCCGCTCCACGTGTGTGCACGCGCACACACACACACACACACACACACACACACACCAACACCTGTGCACATCGTATTCAGACTCCAGGAAGTGAAAGACAAATAGGCAGCTCTGGGGGTGGTAACTATGGAAGATCAAAGTTAAGGAATCCCACGAGAAGATGTGTAAGCAAGAAAAACACAGTGAAATATGAAAGAAAAAACTGACCAACCCATATTTATGTGTCCAACGAAACCCTCCTCTAAAAAGACTTTATTGGAAAACACAAATTGAGGGAAATTGTCACCAGTAGACCTGCCTGGCAAGAAATATTAACACAAATTCTTCAAAGGTTGGAAACTGAGGTTTACATAGACAAAGCATTAGAGAGGGAGTAAGTGAACTAAAATCCCCTTTTTGTATTCCACATTGAATTATTTGTTTATTTTTTTTTTTTTTTTTTTCCAGTACCGAGAATTGAACTCATGACCTTGCACTTGCCAGGCAGGCGCTGTGCCGCTGAGCTAAATCCCCAGCCCTCTACATTGAGTTAACAGAAAGTAGCAACAGGACACAGGACGTGGCTCGGTGCTACAGCATGTGCTTAGCGTGTGCAGGACCTGGGGTTCCATCCCCAGCATCGCACAACACACGCCCCCCTATACACACACCACCACCACCAGGAACAAGAGCGATAATAGTTTCGTGTATGTGGTGATTATGGCTTTAGGGGAGAGTAAATGAGGAGGAAGGATCAATAAGGCAAGACATCAAAAAAGGAAAAGAAAAGGAAGAAAAATCAGCTGTAAGTATTTTGTCGAGAGAGCGTGCTAGCTGGGCTGAACAATTCAAAACTGGAACCTCCAGGAAGGGTGATGGGTGAAGACCGTAAATTCTTCCAAGTGGGTGAATGAGGTGCTTCATGAAGTGACCCGGAATGATAAGAATGGCTCACTGTGCTGCAGCAGTACCTCTACCAGGCTTTCACAAAGCTTTTTAAAAGCTTTTGTTTATCACTGCACAGAGTATTATGCTTATATTCCTGTGGGAAATGGATGCATGTGCACAGTGCGTCCTAATTCCGTTCCCGTTGCCCTTCCCTCCCCTCGCCCCCCTTGATCCCCTTCTGTTTTTGTTTATGTTTGTTCTTTTGTTTGTTTGAGAGAGAGTCTCACTCTGTAGTTAGGCTGGCCTCAAACTCACGGCTGATCCTCTTGCCTCAGCCTCCTGTATGTTTTGTTTTTTAAATCCCTCTGCAGTACATACTGTTTACATCTTCGTGTATAGTCGGATGTGTACACGGCACACTTCTTTTTGTATTCCCTTCCTCCCCTTCCTTCTATCTCTCGGTCCTCCTCCCCTCTGAGAGTGATCTAGCCCTCTACTACCTATTATGCGCCTTTGAGTTTGCACTTTGGTTTTAGTGTGGTTTTCTCATCTAAGACAAGCCATGTGATATTTAATATTAAGATACTGTGTGTCTGATTTATTTCACTTAACTAAGGCTTTTTTAAAAAATGTCATCTGTGTTTGAAAGTTTTTATTTTTTAAAAAAATCAACAAAACCACAGACCTGTAATCCCAGCCCTCTGGGAGGTTGAGGCAGGAGGACTGCATGTTCTAGCCTAACCTGGTCAACTGAAAAAAAAATTGCCAATCACTCATTTCTGTATTATGGTAGTGAATATGTGAAGTGGGCTACAGTGTGAACAAACCACAGAAAAGCTGCTAAGAAGAATGCGCTTTTTTTTTTTTTCTTTTTTTGAAACAGGGGCTCTTGCTCTGTAGTTCAGGCTGTACGTAGCCCAGGCGGGCCTCAAACTTGTGGTTATCCTCTTGCTTCAGCCTCCTGAGTGCTGGGATTACGAGTGTATGCTACATGCCAGACTCACTTATTCTTAAACCTCTTGCAGATGAGCCATTTTTATTTCAGTCTTCTATAGTTTATAAAATCTGACGAAAGTGTGTAAAGAAAACTAGTCATGGATATGGTGTGTGGTGGTGCACGCCTGTAGTCCCAACACTAGGGAGGCTGAGGCAAGAGGATCACTAGGAGTTTGAGGCCAGCCTTGAAGTCTACTCTACAAACTCACTAGGAGTTTGAGGCTACATAGTGAGTTTGAGGCCAGCCTGAACTACATAGACCCTGTCTCCAAAAAAAAAAAAAAAAAAAAGGAAAGCTAGTCATAGAAAGTTAGTTTTCATTGGCTTTTTGAGATTATATGAACTATGACTACAGTTTGTGAATTTATTTATTTATTTAGTGGCACTGGGTGTTAAACCCGGGGCTTTCGCAGTGAAGCACATCCCCAGTTCTTTTTTCTTTTCTTATTTTGTGACAGGGTCTTTGTAAGATGTTAAGTTGCCTGGGCTGGGCTCGAACTTATGCTATTCCTGCCTCAGCCTCTCTGATGCTTTCAAGGTCATCACACAAATGGAAACTTTTTCACTGAATTTTTTTGCAAGATTATAGATCCCTTGCTACATTCATAACCTCTATTTTAAGGTCAAAATATCAGATCTTATTTATTTATTTATTTACTTAATTTTATTTATTTATTTATTTATTTATTTTTGATTTTTTGGTTTTTCTCCGGTACCGGGAACCGAACTCACGACCTTGCACTTGCCAGGCAGGCGATTTTGCCGCTGAGCTAAATCCCCAGCCCCTCAGATCTTATTTATGTAAAAAAAAAAAAAAAGATGGAGGTCTCCTGGACATGGCTAGCAACCCGTGTGGCGTCGCGCACGTGCCATTTCTCAGCCTTGCCAGAGGAGATCAGTGCGCACGCACACGTTTGCTTCTGAACAGGCATGTGGAAGTCCAGGTGTTTGGCGATCACCATGGCAACGCAGTGTACCTGTATGAGCGGGACTGCAGCGTGCAGAGGCGGCATCAGAAGATCATTGAGGAGGCCCCCGCGGTAAGGCCGGGGCGGGAAAGCGGTGCCCTGCGCTGTGCACCCTCCTTGGCTCTGTGTTCGCAGCGGGTCCGCGCGCTTCTCCTCCCTCGCTCAGGGCCTCCCGGTCCACCGCAGCACCCAGAGGACACGTGCTCGGTCCTCGCCCTCCCTGCTGCACATTTTTAATTGTAATGAACCGGAATGAATTACAGGACTGGACCAGGGTGGTCTGCTAATTAGACGTGTTTTTTATAGAGAAGATTCTTGTCTTAACGACTGTTTCTTTCAGATGCTTCTAAAATACATGAGTTATTTCCCTGTGTTAGTGGGTGTGTTGGGGAGGAAGGAGGGTCCCTCTCATTTTTGCCCCCTAATATTAACGGTTAGCATCTCTTTGAGATTTTCTTTTAATTGGTTTAAGCTGTTATCTGGGTCATGGCCGACCTGCTTTGTTTGTTTGTTTGTTTGTTGAGACAGGGTCTCGCTGTATTGTCCAGGCTGGGCTTGAACTCACTGCGATCCTTCAGCCTCAGCCTCCCGAGTGGATTTATATTTCTTTTAGGGTCACCACTACCATGGGTTAGATACATGATATTTTTTCTTGCAGTATGTATTTCCACAAAACCTAGAATCTGAGTTTTTTAGTGAATCAATTTGTTATTCCTACACTGTATTCAAAATGTAATTTCTGCTGGCGTGATGGCGCACACCTGTAATCCCAGCACTTGGGAGGCTGAGGCAGGAGGATCGTTGTGAGTTCAAGACCAGCCTGGGCTACAAAGTGAGCTCAAGGCCAGCCTGAACTGCGTAGCGAGACCCTGTCTCAAAACGACAAAAAAACCAACAACACAAAAAAACCATAATTTCTGTTGCAGAGTATGTTGTGCCATTTGAAGTACATGCCAATAATTACCATAAAGCCTACTTTTAAACAGTGATTGCATACATATGTCTATAAAGCACTATTTTAAATGGTAAAATAAGCTTTGCTTCTTTATATATTTCTTTGTATGAATCTTGCATGTTAACTTAGAATCTCCAGGTTTCACTATATCCCAAGAAATCATTTGCACTTGATTCAGATTTCTGTATCATCTTGAAGCAAGATGGGAATTACTGAAAGTTTTCATATTCGTACAGTTATTCAGTCCTCCTGCCTCAGCCTCCCGAGTGCTGGGATTATAGGGGTGTATACCACTATCCTTACCTTTTTATTGCAGTCCTTTGATACATAAAATATAATGTTACTGTATTTTGATAGAAATTTCTGGTACGGCAAGGTATGCATGGAAGCGTGTGTTCAATCATTTTTTATAGCCTGGTATCAAACCTGAAGTAAGAAGAAAGCTGGGAGAGGCTGCCGTCAGAGCTGCTAAAGCTGTGAATTATGTTGGAGCAGGTATGTTAAAATGTGTTTTTAACGGGAGAGACCAACTCATTTATTTTTAGTTTCAGAAGGTAAGAGAGATGGATAGCTTTTAAATCAGTGGCTTTGAAGCTTTTTTTTTTTTTTTTTTTTTTTAAGGCAGGGTCTCGCTGTGTAGTCCAAGTTGGCCTTGAACTCACCATGTAGCCCAAGCTGGCCTCAAACTTTAGGCGATCCTCCTGCCTCAGCCTCCTGAGTGCTGGGGTTGCAGGCATGTGACTGGCACTGTAGTATCTCACAGAATATAGTTTCTCACCCTAAGCATCTTCTGTGCTGCGCCTACTCATCTTGCTGAGCCCCCTGCGCCCTGGCAACCACTGACGGCCCTGGTGCCTCCACAGTTTGCTGTGGTAAGGTGTACGTAGCGTGATCCTATAGCACATGTGATCATATTGCCTTTCCAGATTGGCCTGTCCCTCTTAGTAATGTGGATTTCAGTTTTCTCCACGTCCTGTCACAGCTTTCCAGTTCATTTCTCTGTTGCGCTGAACAGTGCTCAATTTTCTGTCTATCCTGGAGCTTAGGTGTCCATTTCCTACTGAAGGACCTCCCGGCTGCCTCCACATTTGGCACGGATGGCCAGAGTTGCTATAAACATTCCTATGCAGGATTGTATGTGGACATAATTTTCTTTCAGTTCATTTGGGTAAATCCCAAGGAGCAGGACTGTCAGATCACATAGTAAGAGTATGTTTAGTTCCTGAAGAAACTGCCAAAGTGCCTTCCAAAGAGACCCTGCCGGCGCATTCCTACCGCATAGTAATGCATCGAGGCTTCCTGCTGGCCCGACCCCCTGCGATCAGAGCTGGCAGTTTGTGGTTTTGACTCATTGCCCTCTTGTTTTAACTTGCACTCCTCTAACGACATGTGATGTTAAATGTTCGTGCTGCTCACCTGCCACCTGCACATATCTTCTTTATGAAATGTCTTTTCAGGTCTTACCCTAACTTTAAAAATCGATTATTTATTTTTATCTATTTATTTTTTGGTCTTTTTGAGATGGGGTCTCACTATGCATGTAGTTCAGGCTGGCCTTGAGCTCACTTTGTAGCCCAGGCTGGCCTTGAACTCGCAAGGATTCTCCTGAGTGCTGGGATTACAGGCATGTGCCACCACGCCTGGCTGGATTGTTTATGTTTTATTGTTTAGTTTTTGAGTCAGAGTCTTGCCAGATTCCACAGGCTGGCCCTGAGCTCATGATCTTCCTGTCTCAGCCTCTCAACAAGCTGGGATTATAGGCCCGTGCTTCCTGCCCAACTTGTTTTCTTTCTGGTGTCCTAGGTGCCTTTGACAAACACTGTCTCAGTCTGAGGTTTGTGAGCCCGTTCCCTTAATACTGTCTTTTGTCGGTCAGAAGTCTGATTTTTAAAAATTTTTGTTTGTTTGTTTAGGTTGTTTTGGTCTTTTTGAGACAGGGTCTCACTATGCAGTTCAGGCTGGCCTTGAGCTCACTTTGAGGCCCAGGCTGGCCTCGAACTTGCAACAATCCTGTCTCAGCCTCCCAACTACTGGGATTACAGATGTGGGTGACCACACCTGGCTTGGTTTTTAAAATTTTAATGAAGTCCAGTTTTTCCTTTCATGCCTTTGGTGTTGTATGTGAAAAGTCCTTACTGTATCCACAGATATTCTAGGTGTTCTCTTAAGTTTTTTCTGGGAATTTTGTAGTTTTGCATTTTACATTTAGGCGCATAATACATTTTGAATTAATTTTTGTGAAAGGTATGTGTTCTGTATCTGCCACCTTTTGCGGTTTTGAATATTTTATATTTTATTTCTTAGCATATCAATTTTATATATATATATATACTTTTTTAAGTTTTCTCAGTGGTAGCTCTAGAGTTTGTAATATGCATCCACAGCTAATTCAAGTTCACTTTTTTTGTTGCTTTTGTTTTTTTAAGACAGGGTCTGGCTGTGCAGTTCAGGCTGACCTTGAATTCACTGTGTAGCCCAGGCTGGCCTGGAGCTCAGGGCAGTCCTGCCTCAGCCTCTTGGTTGCTGATATTACAGACATGCACTGCCACACCTGGCCCAAATCTACTTTCAAATAGCTTGTACCTGATAATAATAAAATATCCCCAATGTCTCCTTCTTGTCCCTCTGTTATTGTAATTGTACATTTCATTTATACATAAGCAGAAATGTGTAACCATGTATAATTAAAGTCATTATTGCTCTTCCTATTTTGAATAAACTCATCTATTAAATCAGCCAAAACTAAGAGAATTAACATTTTATATTGCCTTCACCTGTTTGTTCTCCTGTGCTCTTCCTTCGTTTATGTGAACACGGTTTCTGGCCTATCTCATTTTCCTTCCCTCTGAAGAACTTTTAACATTTCTTGCAAGTGTGCTGAATATATTCAGCTGATAAAATCAGAATACCTACATTTAAATAATGAGGTCTGTTTCTCCTTTTTTTTTGGTTTTTCTCCGGTATCAGGAACTGAACTCATGACCTTGCGCTTGCCAGGCAGGCGCTTTTGCCGCTGAGCTAAATCCCCAGCCCCAATGAGGTCCGTTTCTAAAATTAAGCCATAACAAAGCCTGCCTAGCAAGTACAAGGGCCCAGGTTTCATCTCCATTACCTGAGAAAGGAAGGGAGGGGGGGAGAGGGGACAAGGAGTGGGGGAGGGGAGAGAAAGGTGGAGGGAGGGAGAGGAAGGAAGGAAGGGAGAGAAAGAAAGATTGTAGGCCGTATAGACGCTGTAGACACACATGGGTTAGTTGCTGAGCAGTTTTTCAATGTATCCCTGGCGAAAAGATCTTTAGAAGAAACTTCTTGGCACACGCCTATAATCCCAGCACCTGGGAGGCTGAGATGGGAGGATCCCTGAGAGTTCAAGGCCAGCCTGGGCTACAAAGTGAGACCCTGTCTCAAAACAAGAAGAAGAAGAGAGGGAGAAGAGGCTAAGAGCTCACAATCCAGGGGGAAATGTGCTTTTCTCGATGGAGTTAGAGTAAGATGGTCGTGGTGTGAGACACCCAGGCCTCATGGGATCCGGGACAGTAACACATAGTCCAGCCAGAGTCTCACTACTATAGTAGCTGAGACCGATTCAGAATTTGGGTTTACGATTTGCTCACAATCCCAAATATATTTTTCCATTACTAAGTTTGATGCCGAGCCCATTTTTTTGAGTCAGGGTCTTGCTGTATAGCTTAGGCTGGCCTTAAACTCACTGGTCCTGAACGCGTAGCAATCCTCCTGCCTCAGCCTCCCAAGTACTAGGACTATAGGTATGTGCCACCACGCCCAGCTAGAGTCCTATTTTTAACTTAGACTTATTTGCTGCTGTAAAATGTAAGATGTTTTCTTCATGAAATGTAAAACATTTATGATCAAACGATGGCATCCGTAAGTCAGTGAGCTGTGTGTGTAAGATCTTGTTTGCTACTGATTACGTGCTATTGACACGTGACCATCGTGTTTTGTCTCTCAGGCACAGTGGAGTTTATTATGGACTCACAGCACAATTTTTACTTCATGGAAATGAATACAAGACTGCAAGTAGAACATCCTGTTACTGAGATGATCACAGGAACTGACTTGGTGGAGTGGCAGCTTAGGGTGAGAACGTTTCCTCGTTCGTCAGTACATGTTTGTGGCATGTAATGAATACGTTCATGGTGGAGACTCGGCACACGGATATGTCGCCTCTTACCCCTCTTCAGAGTAGCCTGCCTCTGGCATCCTGAAAGGTGTCACTTTGGACAGGAGTCCCCTCTTGGTGGTTGTGATGAGAACAGGAAAAGGGAAGGTTAAAAAGTGAAGCTGCGGGGCTGGGGCTTTAGCTCAGTGGCACAGTGCCTGCCTGGCAAGCACAAGGTCGTGAGTTCGATTCCTGGTACCGGAAGAAAAACAAAACAAAACAAACAAACAAAAAAAAATAAAGGTACATTTGCGGCGGTGACATTCTTGGCACTTTGGGCACTCAGAGTCCTAAGTTGTCCCTTTCCTTCATTTCCCTTCAGGAGCAGGGAGCTGCTGTCACCTAGACTTGTCCTGACCATGCGGTCTCAAGCCAAAGCCACAGGGGTCCACCTCAGGCTGCAGCATTCCGGGCTGCTCCATCATTAGACTTTGAGGCAGGACAGATGCCTCCTGAGGCAGCCAAGGGAATGGTCCCTGGAAAGCGCTGATTTAGTTTGTTTGTTTGTTTGTTTGTTTTGTTTTTCTTCTGGTACCAGGAATCAAACCCACGACCTTGTGCTTGCCAGGCAGCGCTTTGCCGCTGAGCTAAATCCCCAGCCCTGAAAGCACTGATTTAGAAACTGTTGCCAGGCCACAAGCAAATGTTCATGCCTAGTAGCCATTGTCCCTGTTTAGAAACTGTTAAAGCATTTGACACTGCTGTGATGGGTTTCCTGTATTTCATAAAAGCAGTATGAGTTGTGATTTAAAAAAGAATATGGTGACCGCTGCTGCTGGGTGCTGTCCAACCGGAAGTCAGGGTTCTTCAATACCGGAAGCGCATGTGGAGTCTTGAGTCCCATTGTTCAAGTGTCAGCTTGTTAGTGCAGTCGGTGGTTGTGAGCTAAAGTTGAGAGAAGGTGTGTCTTGAAATGTGCCATAAATCATGGGTCACAGATTATACATTTCATGGGCGTTACGCAATCCTGCCACGTCAGGGTCTAGCTTTTAAAGAAATGTCATCTCAGGAGATGAACCTTGGGTCTCTGGTTGTGATCCAGAGCCCAGAGTTAGGGGTGCTCAATGGAAATCACCCAGTTCTTGTGCAAAAAAGTATAGCTGTCAAGACCCAGCATCAAAGGTGCTGTTGATTGTGATTTTTTTTTTTTTTTTTTTTGTACTGGGAATTGAACTTGGGACCTTGTGCTTGCCAGCAGGTGCAATTCTGCTGAGCTATATGCCCGGCCCCCTGATTGTGATTTTTTAACCTTGATGGAATCATTCAAGCTGAGTTTGTATCCAGGAATGCTACAGTGAACTCCGAATATCATAAGGGCTTGTTATTTAAGAAACAGTGTGCAGAGAAAATGGTCTAAGAAAGCTGGGCTTGGTGGAGGAAGCCTGTAATCCCAGCACCCAGGAGGCTGAGGCAGAAGGATCACTGTGAGTGTGAGGCCAGTCTGGGTTCCATATTGAGTTCAAGGCCAGTCTGAACAAAGAAGGAGGAGGAGGAGGAGGAGAAGAAAGAGAAGAAGGAGAAGAAGGAGAAAATGTCCTAAGAAGGGGGCAGTTCCATCCCCCATCATGATAGCGTTCCATGTCACACTTGGCTTCTGGTGCAGTATTTTCTGTCAAATAAAAACATCACAGTGTGTTGTCAGCCACCTCTCCGCTGGATCTGGAACCGTTCAACTTCTGGCTTATTTCCAAAGTCAAAATGACCGCAAAAGGTCAATATTTGGAATTGATTTAGGTCATCAGGGCAGCTACAACCATGCCACTGAAAACACAGAAGCCTCCCCGGACTGCCTGAGAGCACAGCAGGGATGCTGGGATGACTGTGTTTGAAGCGAGGGTGCGAATTCTGAGCAGGGTTCATGGTAACACATCTTTTACTGTAACGTTTCTAATACAAATATTCACCGACTTTTCTGATCCCAGCCATAGCCCTGAAACCGTTCTTTACTGCAGACAGCTGGAGGCCTGGTGGAAACGACGTTCCATAAAGCATGTTCCTCAAAATATACAATAAGAGCTCAGCTCTTTTTGTTCTCTTATTGAAAACAATTGATTTTACCTCATCCTTTCTTAATAGGAAAACCGATCTTTCTTTCTTTCTTTCTTTCTTTCTTTCTTTCTTTCTTTCTTTCTTTCTTTCTTTTTCTTTCTTTTTTCTTTTGAGACAGGGCCTCACTGTGCAGTTCAGGCTGGCCTTAAACTCATTCTGTAGCCCAGGCTGGCCTCGAATTTGCAGCAATTCTCCTGCCTCAGCCTCCTGAGTGCTGGGATTACAGGCATGTGCCACCATGCCTGGCTGTGATTTTTGTTTGTTTGTTGTTTTCACAGTGCTGGGGATCAAGCTAGGCAAGTGCTCTAGCAACTGAGCTACATCTCCAGCTGCCCCAGATTTTTAAGTCATATCAATGTTCTTGAGTCCCGCAGAATCTCTGGATCTTGTTTGTTTATTGCAACAGAGAGGGAACCCAAGGATTTCACAATGATCTGTATCCCTAGTTCTTTTTAATATTTTATTTCCAGACAGGATCTCATTAAGTTGCCCGGGTGGGGTTTGAACTTGTGATCCTTCTGCCTCAGCCTTCCAGAGTACTGAGATTACAGACACGCATTGCCTTAGCCAGCTAGGAGCCTTGGTTCTTTGTATGCACTAAATGTAAATTATTTTTTCCATGCTGTGTTGCTAAAGTCTTGATTATTTTGATAATTTTGTCTTCCCAAGACTTCAAAAACAGCATGCTGTTGTTTTTGCCGGCCCTTTGGGGATGATTAGTGGTTTTAATGAGCTGAAAGATTCTTTTGGGCCCGAATGGCCTTACGAACTAATGAAAACCAGGCATACAGGCTATTAAGGGTTAGAAAAACTGTAGAGGGTTTGGAAACTGCTGGAAGCGGTGCCAGAAGGGAAAAGGAAGTTTTTTTTTTTTTTCCTGAAGCAGTAACTAAGAGAGACTGGACCTTTGCAGTGATGGAGGATGAGATGTGTTAGGTATGCGAACCAGCTCCACACAAGGGATGTAAACATGTGTGCGCTGCAAGCTTGTTAAAGAGAAGGAAAGAAAATGAGCACGCACCCTCCAGTCGACTTCTCCAGGCTATACGGGTGGGAGAGAGCAAGGTGCTGCATTGATAGCCCCGTGCGGAGAACTGTAGCAGCTCTCGACAATAACAGCGCCCCTGTTCCTAAGCTGGATCGCACAGCAACATAATAAAACTGAAGCATCATCGCATGCCCGGCCCTTTGCTTCCTCACTCGCATGCTGAAGGAAACCATAGCCCAGGACGACTCAGGCCACTGCGCTCTTTTCTTGGCTGTGAACATAGACCTAAATACCTACTGATCATTTACTATATAAAAAAAAAGGCTGATTTGGGAGCTAAGTGCTACTGTTTTAAATGAAAATTAAAAATATCTTGTCAGTAAGAAATTTTGATTTTGAGCATATTTACCACTGATTATTTATTTATTTACTTAGATTTTTTGAGACAGGGTCTCCCTACGTAGTGCAGGGTAACCTTGAATTCAGTGTGTAGCCCAGGCTGGCCTCAATCTCTTGGTGATCCTCCTGCCTCAGCCTCCCAAGTGTTGGCACTACATGGGTGTACACCATGCTCGGCTTGATTTTTATTTTTGTGAATCAGCCATCGGTTTTCCTGCCGCCATTTAAAAACTCTAGAAACCCACTGGAAGTAGGCTGTTCCCAAGTTGCATCTGTTGTTTAATCCGTTTCTGTTTCGCCTGATACTCAAGTGGATGGATATAGTCATAGTTTTTATTTAGCCGTGTCGCAAAATCCAAATATACATTTTCTAGAGAAAAGTGCAAGGCCGTTGACCAAGTCAAGGTGCTGCAAGGTAGGTTTTCATAAGAAGCACTATTCTTCTATTCCCAGGTTGCAGCAGGAGAGAAGATTCCTTTGAGCCAGGAAGAAATCCCTCTGCAGGGCCATGCCTTTGAGGCTAGGATATATGCCGAAGACCCTAACAATGACTTTATGCCGGGGGCCGGACCGCTGGTACACCTCTCTACCCCTCATGCAGACCTTTCCACTCGGATTGAAACGGGAGTACGGCAAGGTATAGAGAAATAATGAAACCTCTTGCTCTTGTTAAATTTTTACTACATTTTTTTCTTTGAGATCGGAGTGGCATTGTACTACTCAGGCTGGTCTGGAGCTATCAAGTGACCCTCCTGCCTCAACTCTTGAGTAGCTGGGACTACAAGGCATACATCATTACAGCAAGTTTTAGTGCATTATTTATTTTGGGGTAGAATCTTATGGAAATATTGAGCATAGATTGAATTGATTTCTCATCAACATTTTCCTTCTGGAATAGTTATTGTTAGAGCATAACTCGTACTTTTAAACAGTGTAGTATTATTTTGAAACACAACATACTAAGTACAAGCTAAGCAATAATAAAAGAATTGTACTACATTTAAAACTAACAGTACAAAAGCGATCACAGCTCAGTCTATGAAATAATGGTCATAACTAATAGCTAGAGTTTCCTATGTACAAGTACTTTGCTGTGGGATTTTTCAGTATAGGACTTTTTCTTT